TGATATAATAAGCAACAGAATTGGATGGAATTTTGTTTCTTCCTCTTACCTTTCATTAACAACCACACTTAAAAGCTCAATGTACTTGAGAAGAAATTAGGATCATAAAATATTAGAGGTGGAGTCTGGAGCTTTATTATAGAGATATGTACCATTTTATCAAACATAGTATAAGATTCTCCTGAACATTTGGTCAAAATCTTCTATGAAAAGAATATTATTTGACTATGTGCATATACAGGCATGTGTCACTTAAAGATAAGGTATGTTATTCTGAAAATGTATCAGAAGGCAATTTCATTGTTGTGCTAACATAAAAATTCATTTACACAAACCTAGATGGTAAAGGCCAATTATTCTATGTAGCCTTTTAATCTAATCAAGAGATGAAGTAAACTTGAGGTGTATAAGGCTATCACCAGCATAACATAGCATACTGTTCTACAGTAAACATTTCATGAATAGAAGCATGCTCCAAGACAATATTAAACAGCAAGATACAGAAAATGTATAAACCAGTAAAATAGCCATTCATCATCATTATCAAATATTACATAGCATTCATAATTGTACTGCATATAAGAGCTACACTTTTATATAACTGTTGGCTAGGTAGGTTTGTTTACATCAGCTTCACTACAAACACATGAGTAATGCATTGTGCTATGAAACCGTGGCTGTGATGTCACTAGGAAACAGGAATTTTTCAGCTTCATTATAATCTTAAGGAATCAGCATTTAATGTGTGGTCCATTTTAACAGAAACATCATTATGTGGTTCAGGACAATATTACTAAGGAACTGCAATCTTCTGCTACTCTAAAAGTTATCAATAATACACATATATATTAAAAATAGAAATTATAAAAATCAAGTGATAACTTATAAATTCTTCCTTTGTGTTTTTATTTCCAAAATACTTTCTAATATATGCACCAAAAATAGTGGGTGAAATTTATAGTCTAGATGCTATTTTGATAATTTCAAATATTTTGACCAACTTATTTCTACAGTTGGTTAAATTGACTTTTAAAAGATCATATTGTAAATGAACAGACATTTCTCAGACAAAGAAGTAAAAGCAGCAAGTAAATATATGAAAAAATGCTCCACATCACTGGTCATTCAAGAGATGCAGATGAAAATGACACTAAGATTACACCTCAACCCATAAAGAATGGCTGCTATCAAGAAATCACACAATAACAAATGTTGGCGGGGTTGTGGGGAGAAAGGAACCCTTCTCCATTGTTGGTGGGAGTGCAGACTGGTGCAACCACTATGGAAATCAATATGGAGATACCTCAAAGAGCTGGGACTAGAGGTTTCATTTGACCCAGCCACCCCTCTGCTGGGTATCTTTGCAAAAGAATTAAAAGAATCATACCACAGTGATATATACACACCAATGTTTATAGCAGCACAGTTTGTAATAGCTAAAACTTGGAAACAGCCCATTTGCCCATCAGTTGGAAACTGGATAAAGAAGATGTGGTTTTTCTATAAAATGGAATACTACTCAGCCATAGAGAATGAGAAATTAGAGTCATTCATAGGAAAATGGATACATATTGAGGATATACTCAAGTGAAATAAACAAGTCACATATGCGTAAATAACGAATAGTTTCTCTGGTGTGAAAAACTATAATGGTACACAATATCCTAATAAGATAATTAATAATGTGAAACAGGAAGAAAAGGGCTACAGGTGTAGGGAAAGTGGGAAGGGTGGGGGAAAGGGAATAAGGGAAAAGAAAAAAAATATGAAATAAAGTGTTTGTAAATGGGGAGGGGAGGAGCGGGTGAAGGGAGGGCAGGGACAAGGGGAAAAAATGAGAACCAAGACCTGTCATGTAAAGCTGCAGGATCCCAATAATGAATGTAACTATATACTGTATACCTAGATTGTACCAATAAACTCAGTAAAAAGAAAAAAAAAAGATCATATGGCATTGCTGATTTTTAAAAGCTAGTTTTAAGCCTAGAAAAAGGACCAGTTCTGCCATTTTTTTTGTTAATTTGTACCTGAATTATTAGTATTTTCTTCCATCTGCTCTTGTGCTTCATTCTTTTGATTATAGGAATCCTTTAAAACTGCTTGTCCATTCTGTAACTACTATTTCATTTAAAACAAACAAACAAAAAAATCCTGCATCATTTGCCTGGGTACTCATCATCTGCAAGGAAAGCAGGAATCCCCTTCTGAGAACTAGGTACTCTTTCCCTAGGACTCTTTCTGTATGTTGTATTTGTTTATAGCCCAGTAAGAAACAAGTATCCCTCTATGCATTAAATATTTTAAAAGCTGTTTTTCCTCCGTCTTTAAAGAACAATAAAAATGTGCTAAACTTTTCTCTCCTTCCACTGAAGACTGAAGCAAACAGTCCCTGGATTATCCTTATCCCACCCTAGACGTCAGTGGTTGGAGCCCCAGAAAGAATGAGGCAAACTGTAGGTCCTGCTGGAACCCTGCTGCGCAACTCCATGTGCCCATTTGTAAGAAAGGATTAGGAAGTTGTTCTCACGGGTCTTTGTGAAGATTACCATGATATAATTATTTCTGCAGTGAGCCACCATCTCTAAAGGGACAATAAGTGTCTTGAATAGAATTTTGTGTGGCCTAGAGTCAGAATGCTTAGGCATCATAGCCAAATGTTGAGTCTGCCAGTGGTGTCACCTAAGCCAGTTTCTTACTCATCCAACACCCAATCTCCTCAGATATTAAGTGGTGCAGTAACGTCACTGGCACAATCTTGTATTGAAGATTAAATGAAATAACATTTGGGGCTGGGGATTTAGCTCAGCGGTTCGGTGGCCTGCCTTGCAAGCGCAAGGACTTGAGTTCGATCCCCGGTACCAAAAAAAAAGAAAGAAAGAAAAAAAAAAAGAAATGACATTGGCAAAACTTCTTGCCCAGTGTCTGAGAGTCCTTTGTAAGATTTAGATTTCATTTTATTTTTATTATACAAATCAATTCAGAATAAAAAACCCAAAAATCTTTACTGATAATTACCTTCATTCAAAATGAAAATGACTACAAACTCTATATAACTATATATAAAATCTCCTTCTGACCCAGATTAACTTCTTTACCACGTAGAGTAGCACTCATCAATTGAAATCCTGGACCCTTGAGGTTCTTCATACCTTTCAAAAGCTCTGAGAAGTGAAACAGATTTGCACAATGATACATGGAAGTTACTTCCTTTTTTAACTCTGATTATTTCAAGAATTCACAGTAGAATTTTCCAAAGGCTACGTATGTGATACTGCAACAATCCAGATGAAGAAGCAGATGTGAGAATTCAGTGGTCAGTCACCTACTGTAGCAGATATTAAAGAGGTTTTTAAAAATGTATTTTATATGTTTCTCATTACATATGTTATATTTTACTGATTTATAGTATATATGCTTTTCATAAATGTTATTTATGTAAAGTTTTTCCAAATTAATAAATGTGGATTTTTTTTTTCAGCTTTAATTTCTAGCTGGTGTGGTAATTTTGACTAAACAATTTTTTTTTTTTTTGGTACTGGGGATCAAACTCAGGACCTTGCGTGTGCAAGGCAGGTGGGGGCACCACTGAGCTATGTCCTCGGCCATGACTGAACAAGTTCTTAAAAGCAAAAATCTTTGAGAATTAATACAGAAGATGTCACTGAAAAAGCTGGCACAATTTTTAGCCACTAAAATTTACCACACAGTGTATTCTTTCAGCCGGAATTTAGAACCTAGCAGTTACTCACTGGAGTTCTGGACCCTTGGGGTCCTTCCTTCCTTCCCTGCCCCCTCTTCTCTCTCTTCCTTCCTTTATTCCGTCCTTTCTTTCCTCGAGACACAGATTGTTGACTAAATCCCACAGGTCAATGTTATAATCTTTCCTTTTGAATCTCTAGTTCTCAAATGTTCAATCTTGACTGTAACCCTTTAATGAAATGATCCTTATGGACAGAAAAAGAATTTCTAATCTGATTTCAGTCTCTATATGCTTAATATACATACTTGAGCTATTTATTCAAGCCAATTTAAATCAACTTTTCAAGGTGATACATGGCCTTTTTATGCATCAAGCTGGTGATGGAGTGGAGTAAGAGGTTTACTTTGATAGATTCTTCTTAAGAGTGGTAGGAACCAAGTGTGAGATTTCATTATCTTCCTACATTGTTCTTACAAATTCTAAAAATACTTAGATAGTAACAGCTGGGACAGTGCCAGGAAATCTCAAGGCTACTTAATTCTGTGCCCATGACAGGCAACTCGAAAGCAGCTAATAATTTTAATAATGTCGTTTTGCAACAGTGATCTGCAGGCGTAATTTTCTTTCAGCTACAAAGTTTGCTGAACGCTTGTAGTTATTTCCTGTTATTTTCTTCTAGGTTGTAACTGTAGCAATGGTTTATAGAAAATATTTTCCAAGATATAGGTTCCATCTGCCATGCTTTAACCAAAGTGTCTCAGAGACAAAATAACTATGAAGTCTATAGTTTAGCATTTCTTTTAGGATTTGCGTTCACATGGGTCTGGCCTTACCTCACCAGCCCCTATACAATCTTAAGTAGCTTTCATGACTACCCTAAAATTATAATTGTTACAAATAGCTCTTGCATGCTCTCACTAAACAGATTAAATAAGGCTAAGTTTGTCAACATTAGTATGGTACATCTTTTAGCATCTAATTAGCAGTACATATGCTTTAGCCATTTTTGTCTATTTCATAGGCTATGGGGGCTAGAGGCACAAAGGATAGAAAAAGGCCGAAGAAAGAGAGAAAAAGAAAGTTTAACATAATTAGTTAAAAAATAAAAGGTTTTAAACAAAGGAATTTTATAAAAGGATGTTTGTGACAAGTAAAAAACCCCAAACAACCCAAACTAAATCTGTTACTGAAATGTACACTGGACTTAAAAAACCAATCAGAGATTTCTTGTCAACACTGTATTGTTTGGTTGAGCAGAGATAAAATGATTTAAATCTAAAAATTTTTACATTGTTTCTAGAAACCTCAGTTGCTTCTGGAGATTTGGGATTCTCAGGAAGCTGGGAAGCAGGAAAAGTTCCTCAGAGTTGCAGCCTCTTTCAGAGACACCCAAGTTCTCTTCCCAGTACGGTAACGAAGTGACGACGAATCAGTCACCCTGCTGTCTGTGGAGATAAGAATATAATCTCCAAAAGCTTCAGTAAATAATCTTGGCTGACAGTCATTGTCCTTCTATCACTTCCTCCCCAACTTTAGAGTTAAGCTATTCTTTTAGAGTCCCAATAAACATAAGATGATTTGTTTCTTTGAAGAAAAGAAAATGAGAATTGTTCACGTTTTAAATTTTAGTCGTAATCACCTTGGGAGAAAGAACTCAAGGTGGAAGTTTGAATTACACGTGGTGGTTTAAATTCCTAGGGCTTTATACATCTGCAAGTAAAATGCAAAAAGCAACAAAATTGAACAAACCAAAGAGTTCCCAATCTAAAACAAAGCCAAACCTGTCTGACTTTCTTACATTGGTATTGGAAAAGTAGTAGGGCTTGTTCTTACATGCTGGGGTTAATAAAACCATTCTAAATTAGCCCATAAACATGGCCTTTCTGAAATGATTCTTATGTATTGCTCCTTACTGATATTCCAGTCAATGGACCGTGAAACTTTCCCATATCTAAATTCCTCATTATAAAATGCTTTAGTCTTACTTTCTTCTCCTTTAAATAATGTACTTGGTCCGGTGTCTTACTGGCTGGCTACATGCACCTATGGGTTGAATTACAATTGGAAACTGCTTAGTAAATTCAGATCAGGTGGCTTCTTAGTATCATCTGAGTGCCTTAAAGATAAAACAAAGAAGCCTTCATCTGAGCCTAGAAAATTCTCCAGGAAAACTTGTTTTACTTGGAAAAGAACTATTAAGGGATCTGAAATACTTTCTGTGAAAATGTGAAGTAAGTCAACAGACATTTTCCAGCGATGTGTAAACCAACATCCCTCCATGTAACTCAGCCATTTTTTAAGAAGTCAGTCAGCATTCATACCATGACTCATGAACTTGTATTCTTTGTTCAAATTGTAACTATGTAATTTAAGATCAAGAAGATACAATAAATATGCTGACACTAGCTAAGGAGCCACCAATAATATGTTAATGTTCATACTGTTACTTGCCTATACTCTCAGTTTCATCACGCTTAGAATGGGGCTTATATGGGCTACTTCTTTCTGCTTTAGAGTTAATAGGGTTTTTTAAAATCTTTTCATTTAAGATTATATTGCATCCATTTATACATGCAACAGATATTTACGGAGTGCCTGATGCTGTTTTAGACAGCAAGAGCTAGCTCTTCAAATATCGCCAACCTAAACTGTATATAAGACCAGACTGAATTTATGTAGTCTATTGGTAAGGAGCATCATAGGTCAGCCAACCTCCAATCCTTTCTCTATGAGGAAGACAAGAACAGGATTTTTTTTTAACAGTTTGAAGTTTGCTTTAAGTAAGTTTTTTCAGGGTTGGGGAATGAGGGAGCCTTGGTTAAAATTGGGTAAGGATCAGTATATAGCAGCCTAGATTTGGTGGAAAGAGGAGGGCGAATATCTCTGAGGCAAGACATTAAAAGAAACTATTGTGAGTTAACACAAGAGAGTTTGTTTTCTGTTAAAAATTTGGTATGTCTTTCTGGAAGTTAGTAAACTGAGTGATTAAGTTATATGCCTCACAAGAGTTTCCTGGAATAGGAAAGTTATGCTAAGAAAGGCAATGGACTAGTAAATTCATGTCAGTGTAGCCAGTAAATTATGTACGGGAATTTGGATAGGGACAGGTAATTTTGACTTTCAGAATGTGAGCAAATATCAGTAGTTTAAATTCTCTGCCAGCCACTCTGGTTTCTTCTTTCACAGCTCGAATTTAGGATTAGTCAGATGCTGTTTCTTCAATAGATCATTCACCAGTGCTTTCTGAAAGCCTCCAAATGCCTGGCCTTGGGTAAGGTGTGCAGGCAGATACTTGTGAGGGAATCATGGTTATTTTACCATTGTTTCTCTAAAGGCTACTTTGCATGTAAGTGTTGAGTCTGTGGTGTAGTTGTAGAACATTAACTTCCTAGCTTGTAAATTATGCACAAAAGCTACACATACATTGTAATCAGATTGATGAAAAAGACTCTTTACTCTCTGCTAGATGATCTAACCATTTGACATGTTAAAGAATAACATTTCCCCCATCCCAATATAACATCAAAAGTTCCTTTGCAGTATAAACACATGTATTTTATTCTGATCCCCTTGACCAGTAACCTTAGTTAATTTTTGCATGTTTGGTTTTTAAAATTTTTTATTGGTACATTTGATAATATAATGATAATCATCATTGGAAATTTGCACCCTTACATGATCCATTTTGGTTCTTATTTTTTCCCCATTCCCCTGCCTTCCCTTCAACCCCTTCACCCCTCCCTACCTACAAAGACTTTGTTTCCATTTTTCCCTCTTCTAAAATTAATTCCATTCCCCTCTTTCTTTTCCCCTACCCCGCCCACTTCCCCTTCCCCTTTGCCCCTTTTCTTCCTACATATTTGTTAATCAGTGTTATCCAGAAGAAATGTTCCTAGGGCGCTGGACATTGTCAAACAAAAATATTAAATCAGTTTCAAACTATCATTAGAAATGAGGAAGATGGAAGACAGAAGCACTCTGACTTAAGGAAAGTGATCCTGGGATGGCCTTTTCAGACACCTCCTCACATTAAAATCAAATATAAAGGTCCCTACTTTGTCTCTGATGGCACAGTCCTCTCTCCTGGTGTTCTCTTGCAGTGTGTCACTGAACTCTTAACTTTTATGTAGTCCTTGATTATTGGTGAACTCTTTAACCCCTCCATAGCATGAGCCTCTCACGTGCCTTGCCTCACATGATATTTTGGTGGCCAGTGCAAGGACCGTTTCTTCTTGTCTCTCTTGGTCACTTGTCTCTCTTCACTCGGGTGCTGTGCCAAGGCTGTGCCAAGCTAAATAAAAGAGGAAGAAAACTGGGATAAACCTGTTAAGGTTCCAGTGCTAGGGGTGAACACCATTAGAAAAAACAAAGATGGAGGAAAAAGGTCTGGGCTCAAGCTGGAACCTAAAGCCAAGCTGATATGGAGAGTAATTTAGTCTGCAAAACTGGTATGAGCTGGAGAAACATGGCTGTTGAATTACAGGTAGCCTGCACTAGGTCACAGTAGATGGCAAGGCTGGGGTTAATTCCTGTCTCAGTTCACCAAGAAAGAGAACATGGGCTTCTCCTAAACCTGCAAGGAGTTAATGAAATCCACTGGGGCACATCTTGATTGATTGGTAAATTGATTTTTAGATTCTATGGTTTAAGTTGACATTTTTGTCTAAGTGACAAGACTACATCTGTAAGCAACTCTTGGATAATTCTCAAGCTACAATTAGAGGGCTAACTTGATCTTTTTAAGTTTCTACTGGTAATACTTATAAGTCTCTTACTCAGTCAGTCCTAACTGAAATGCAAACATCTTTGAGTTAACTTTGGGACAAAAGAAAAAGAAAACTGTATTAGAGGCATTTAAAAATCCAAGCAGTGGGCCTGGGATTTAGCTCAGTGACACTGCACCTGCCTTGCAAGTGTAAGGTCCTGAGTTCAATCCTCAGCACTGGAAATACAATACAATACAATACAATACAATACAATACAATACAATACAATACAAGCAGCTCCGAGGCTTAACAGATGCAGAAGAAAGAAAACTGTCCATATATCAAAGATTAGATTTGTTGATCTGTTGGGAGAAAGGTGCAGGCTGTACACATTGAAAATAAGTTAATCTACAGTGACAGTGCAGTTAACAGCAAAGTGAGCTTTTCATTGCATCAGGCTTCTCTGAACCAGCATGCACTCAAGAGACCACAGCATTTAGCAGAGGCTAAACTATACATAAAAGTTCGTAACAAGCATGCCTTTCATATGAAACACATATATTTCCTTCCAATGGCTGGACGCTTTTCTCAGAGCCAAAGCATACCAGCATTGTGAGCCTTAAGGGCCTTCTGTGAACACCAAAGTACTGCACCATGTCAAATTGGCCCCTTTAATGTGTAACTATAAACATAACTAGGAGCTCCTAGAACAGAAACAGAGCACAAGCTGACCTAAGGAAAACCTTTCTGATGCTTATTTTGACCACTCCATACTCATTTCATGTCCCCAAATTCATAAAATTCTTAGCCTTTCACCCTGAAGATGTGGTCCTTTTTGTGTGTTTGCCTCATGTTCTCTTGAAGTTTATCGTCTTACACTTTCTATATCCCTGACTATTAGTAAATTTTTTTAACCATCTACAGAAAAGGCCACTCACACATCACACCTGGTAAGACAATTCTCAGGAATTTGGATTTCGAGGAGTGACACTGACTTGAAAATAGATGCCTATCTATATAAGATAGTACATGATTCCTCAGGAGTTACTTTATCCGATAGAATCAGTATCCACTCTAGCATAGTGTTCTACTTGGAAAAGTACTTTAAAATCATAGTCCATGAAAAGGAAAACTGAATGGGTAGAAGGGTGAACCTGCAAACTTCCTCATAACCCGATCCAGGATTGTTCATCTGTTCCAGCCTATTTGAATCAGATCCTAGGTCACTGCTTTTTCCTCTGACTAAACATGAAGAAACTGCAGCTGTGTCTCCTCCCTCATTTCCGCACACTGCAGTCTCGCTCTCCTATTCTACAGATGTTTGCAGCACAAGACTTCTGCAACCTGGCACACAAGGGATGTAAGGTGGATAGCTGTAGGGCAGAGGCAAGACAGGAGCTGAGTTTAACCAGAGTGAGCGTGCTCGGCCTACAGGCATTCACAGTGTCCTGTTGAAAAGTAGGTAGAGGCCAAAGGATAGACTTGACTCGGCTTGTCTGTGATGAGCTTATTAACCCTATTTAAAAATAAAGAAATATTTTAAGCTAGGACTTCCCACTCAGTGAACTGGGTCTTTTGGTAATTTGGAAAGCTCGTTTTGAAATATAGAAAGCTACTGCATACTCCCCTACTTCAGCAGGGATTCAAACATTAGCAATCCCTCCTTTTACAACAATCTCACCCTTCACCCATGTGAGGGGTTCTCAAAATATAAGACAAGTGAAGGTATTATGGGATTTGAATTTACATAATAGATAATCTCTAACATGTTTCAAAATCCAAGCAACATACAGGACATGTAAAGCAGAAATGTTTCTTCCCATTTCGTGCCCAGTAAATAGCATCCTTCTATTAGAGGTACTCAGAGTTTTCAGTGTCTCAATTCAGTGTTTAAATGCATTTTATGTCTCTGGAAAACATACAATAGCTACATATAAAGGAATGGGAACTAGGCTCCACCCTTTCAACAAAGGATTGTCAAAAAACACTTATACTTATCCACTTTTTTTTTTTTTTTTTTTTTTTTTTTTTTTTGGTACTGGGGATCAAACACAGGTCCTTGTGCTTGCAAGGCAAGCGCTGGAAGCACTGAGCTAAATCCCCGGTGTCTTTGTGATTTTGATATCTATTGCAAAATTTCCCTTATAGAAGATATTCTGATTTAGATTTCCGCCAGTGTCATGTGCTAGTGGAGCGCCATTTAGATGAGAAACATTTTCTTTGCACCTCAGTTAAAAGGATCTGAAATTGTAGCCATTATCTTCTCCCACAATAGCAATGGAATAAAACGCGAGATGACAAATGACCTTCATATACCTTTCTGTCTTGAGCGGAGCCTACAGTTAGAACTGTGAGGCAGTCATTTTAAGGATGCATGGATGAGTAAATTCCTGTGTGCTGGAGGGAAGCCTGGCTTTCACATTTATAGATCAAATGCATCACCAACCCCCATGTTCTGTCCGTTTGATCAACCATAACAAAAACATAAGATGTCTTTTGCGGAAGAGATGGGATTTGCAAACACACATTCATCCATGAATTCAAGAGACGTTTCCTTTGTGCCTACTATGTGTCTGGTAATAGTTTGCAGTATCTACTGACCAAGGCTAAAGCGAATTCCAACCCCAGCCCAAATGATGGAAGCAGATCCCTGGAGAAGGGGGGAAAAAGACGTCATAGCTCACGAAAGCCCAGTTATCCTGACAGGTAGAGGCTGCTTTCTTTGTCCTTTCAATCTTATAGCACAGTTTTTCAGAACATGGGCTTTCCATTTCAATTTTGCTTTTATATAATCTCAATACTTCTGTTTCTTCATCTGTAAAATGCAAATAATAATAACTTTCATGGGTGATGATGAAGATCAAATAGCATAAAATCTATTATATTCTTAGAATAATGGTTTGCACAAAAGCAGCTAGCTGAATATGTTACCTTTAAATATGAAATTATATTCAACATTATATGTATTCACATGATCAATATAATTTTACATTTTAATATTGTTAATATAACTAACATTGTTAAAATATTATCTAATATTACAGTCTGACTTTCTGTCTGTTGTACTGCATTAGTTATTCCAAAACCAAGTGGCTTAAACCAACATCATTTTTTCCTTCAACTTCTATAGGTCAGTAATCTGGTTGCCAGGCATTTGAGTCCTCTGCTTCAGGGTCTCTCGCCAAGACTGAAATCCAGGTGTCAGCAGAGGTTCATTATGCCACGGTTCACCTGGGGAAAGAACTACTCCAAGTTCACTCATGTGGTTGTTAGCAGGATTCAGATCCTTACAGGTTGTTGGCTGAAGGCTTCTTTTACATTCTTGACTCATGAGCTTCTACAATATTGCGTTTGTTCCAAGACAAATAAGAAAAGAAAGCAGGAGAAAGTGTGAGCAATATAAAAGGCTTGTCCTTTTATAATTTAATCTTAGAAATAACATCCCAACACGTTTGCTCATTTCTCTTCCTTATACACAAATTATTAGGTTCAAGCAACACACAAGGGGACGTGATTGTACAAGACAGAGAAATCAGAAGAGGAGGACTATTAGCACTCAATTTAGAAGCAGCAAACAGTCCTCCTCCCCCAGATTTTCATAGCTCAAGCTAAAAAGGAAAAGCAGAGATGCAAGGGAATGATAAAAATATGCAGTGAACATTTAAATGTTTTTAAAAATTATTATAGTAAAAGACACATTGCCATTAATTTCCCTCAGAATATTCCCTCTCACTTCAAACACATCGTTTGCCGTTTTCTGAAGCAGTTCTTGAATTCTTCTTTCACAAGTGTCTTTATGAGATGTGATCAAAAATATGGCGAGTGCTGCCATGTTCCACCCAACTTGGAAAGATAGGTTTGTAAAAACATTACAGTGTGTGTTTTTTCTCTTTATTCACTAGATCTAGAACCATATGACTTCGGACTCTTCCCCAAAGTCAAAATGACCATAGGAAGTACATGCTCTAAATGGATTTAGGACATCAAGGCAGCCACAACTAAAGTCATGAAAGAGAATTTCAGAAGAGCTTCAAAAAATGGCAAGAATGGTAAGGTGAATGTGTTTGAATCAAGAGGGAGTATTTAGAGGGAGATAAATGGGAATGTGGTTATTTTTATTGCAATAAATTTTTTTTAATTGAAGCATTCATCCTACTATGTGTACCAGAGACCATATTGGTAATAGATGATGCTCCAATTGGAGATAAAGGCAAATATCCTGTTTGCCTAATTTTCTTTACACTAAAAACACAAGGTTCAAGATAGCAATAAACCAGAGCATGTTTGAAGCCGATGCAGATATCCATGAAGACTATGACGCAGGTGTCAGCTGAGCTGTAAATAACTACGATATCTCTGCAAAATTATTTAAATCGCAGAAGTCATGCTATTTTTGGAGGCATTATGATGTGGCTATGATGGTGGTGGACAATTCTGGGAGAGAAAAGAAAGCATTTCCTAAAAGACTGAAAATGCTTTCAACATAAGTAAATAAATGGCAGTATCTCTCACTTTCATAGATACCAGAGTACTTTTCTGTCTTTAGGAAATCTGTTATGGAGAATCATTCATTTAAGGAAAAAAAGATTAATCTATTAATGGCTTTGATATGGTGAAGACTTCTAGAGAATATAAAATTAAATACTTACTTTTATATGAAAACAAAATTGTGAATGATTCTAATATTTAAATGCAAGCAAATAGATCTCTCAAACTAGAAAGGAAAATATTTTTGTAGTTTTGAAGATAGAGTGCATTTCTGTATACATAAACTCAGAAGATATATTAAATAAGATAATATTAGGTTTTAGTATGACAAAAATGGTAAAGGTTAGTTCAAAATGTTAAATAATACATAAGTGTGAAAAATATTTGCAACATTTGTAACTGTTGACTTGATAATTTATGGAGTATAAAAGATTTCCACATATCACCAAGAATCAAAGAGAAAATGGACAGAGAATATTTAAAATATGGTTTTGAAGAGAACATAATTGATTTCCAATATGAAAAAATGCTCAGAAGCACTCATAATAAGAGAAATGCACATTGAAATTATAAGTGGTAATATTTTCCATCTGTTAGATTGCAAAATTGCTGAATAAGGAGCAAGTATGGAAAAATAAGTACTTCTAAATTATTGGTAAGACAGTAAATCAGCACAAATTTTTAAAAGGATGATTTGTCAGCTATCTATCTTATACTTCAAATATTCACTAATTCCCCCTAATTCATCATTTTATCTTTTGGGTACAGTATTTATTCCACTCACATGTGCACAAAAGCTGTTCATAGCAGAATTATTTAAAACATAAAATACTAAAATTAATATCAAATAGATAACAATAAATGATATTGATGCAAAAAAATCATAGTGTCATTACAATGGAATATTATTTCACCACTAAATATAATTAGACAAATATTAATGAATAAAAAATGAATGCTCTCTATGACATATTGTTAACTTTTTAAAAACTGAGGTGCAAAACAATGTGTTGTATCACTTTATTTATAAACAATAAAGACATAATGCACACACATTTGTTTATGCATAGACTATCTCCAATGATACACAAGAAATAATAATAGTGTCTGCAAAGAGGAATCAAGGCTTAGAGGGCAAAGTGAAGGGTAGGTTTGCTTGACATTGAATGATTTATGTTTTATTCCACTATCTGTGTGCATTTTCCATTCAAAATAAATATAAAATAATTTCAAAAATGAAGAAAACATAGGGCCGGGGATTTAGCTCAGCGGTTCGGTGGCCTGCCTTGCAAGCACGAGGACCCCAGTTCAATTCCCGGTACCAAAAAAATAAAAAATAAAAATAAAAAAACATTAGATACCAACAAGCACAATCAATACCATGACAAACCTATCCCAATATGAATATAGCTTAAAACTTAATTCAGGTGATTTTCAAAAAATGATAATTTAGACACAGAGCTCCACATTTAGTTTTATGAGAATTTGGTGGTGAATTAAAAGGTATTTTTATTATCTTTAGGTAATATCTTCTGAACAAAACTAGAGCAATAAAAGTCAGAAAGTTTAGTAGAATAATTTAATTAATTTTTTTATGAAATCTGATTTTGTAACGCTGTTTTATTTAATTAATTATTAATGTCAATATTATATATTGAAAACATTCCAGTAAAGTGCTAGGTAAAGCGCTAGGGGTTTAAAAAGATCAAAGCACAGACCTTGTTATAGACAGAAGGAGAAAGAAATATATGCGGCTGTTTCAGTACTTCTTACGCTGCGTGCATTTGGTCTCTGTTGTTCATGGTCTGCTCACAACTAACTCTAAGTGCAGTAATGAAATAAATAATGTTTTTGATTAAGTACAATCTGAAGAATAAAATAAACATCTACAAATCTGTTCTATAGAAACAAATAATTGACTAAACAAAAATATGGGGAAAGGTTGGTTCTTTCTCATAGCTGTACATTAGTAATGTAATATTACTAATTAATGTAATACTAGCAAATGTAAAAATAATAATGGAACTAGAAAAACCCCACCGGCCAAACACCACCTTAGGATTTGTTGCATACAAAGACTGTGGAGGGGTAGTGTGAAATTAGTGAGTGAAGCGGGAAATAGGACATACGCAGTCTCAAAGTATCTCTTCCTAATGACAGAGGGAAACACGGTAACTGTGCACGAGAGAACTCGGGCAGGCAAAATGTCCCCGCGTGACTAAAGTTACCATCACCAGCAAGAAGACGTTACTATTATATACCTGGTGATGGGATGCCAGAGAAGAGTATTGGGTGGGACAGTACTGCCAAAGATGCATAATGAAAAGCATTGGACAAACCCAAGCCAACAGTTGCTCTGCAAAATAATTGGGTAGAATCCTGTAAAAAAATGTCAAAAGTCGTAGAAGAAATAGATTGGAAATAGCTAAGACGTGCCAATAAAATTCAATGTAAGGATTCTGATTGGATCTTGGGAATGAAACAGAATATTGGTTAAAAATTGAAAAATTTCCAGTAGAGTTTGAAGATTAATGTTGTATTCAGTTAATAGCATTATTGTTCTGGGTTCAATAAGTATAGTTGGGTAGAATGTTACCATTTGGTGCAATCGGGTAAAAAATATACAAGAACTCTGAATTATTTTTGAAATTTTTGGGTAAGCCTAAAATAATTCCAAACTTCAAAAAAATAGAGACTGCTATTTCTTACTTCAGATTTTAGTCATCTCAGAGGAAACTGATTATTGTCACAGCAGCTTGTCTGCTGCAGGGGAAAAAATCCAATTTTAGTTACTTATGGTAAACAGGCCACGCCCAATTTAAAGAAAGAGATTTCCAAATCTTAGGTGACTCATTTCCTTGTGTAAGACTTTTTCTATTAGGCAAGATGCTTTACTAAATAACTACCTGATTCTTGAGATATAACCATGACACTTTTAATACATATAAGACTATTCCAGAAAGTACAAAAAAAGTTTACTTTTTCTTTGTCTCCAGATTTCTATATCTCCTTTAGACTAAGTAGGCTAAAATATCACTACAATTACAGACCATTTTACAATGGCATGAAAAAGGTAGTCCAAGAGAACACAGAATAAGACTCACAAGTAGTATAGATCAATGATTTCATAGTAATTACTCTCTTGCATAAAACACAGTATTAAACTTTGACTCATTCTTTTAATATCACATAGCAAGCTTTCCTAGGATCCAGGGGCTTCAGAAGAATAGGACAGAAAAGAAAAGACTGATTGTCATATTGGATTCTTTACTATCTAATTTAAGAGAGAAAAATACCCACATGAAGTGACTTAAGATTAAATACAAAACGGGCCGGGGATTTAGTTCAGTGGTTTTGGCGCCTGCCTCTCAAGTAAAAGGGCCCAAGTTCCATCCCCCGTACCAAAAAAAAAAAAGATTAAATACAAAATAATACATTACATTCCACCTCAGTTAAGTGATATTATTCCTACCTAGATCATTAATTAACTTTTTTCCTTTCTAGTTTTCCATTAGAGAAGGATTTCCATTAGAGAAGGTCTTTTGGAGAGAGGAGAGAATGACACACAGAACAAAATATCAGGGCTCTGCTGGCTCTGCACCTGCCTGCACCCAGCCCACCTCTCCTATCATTCACCTCCGGATTTGACCTGCTCAGCCCCTCTGGTCTCCTTGGTCTTCTTCAAACAGCATTAAGAAGATCCAGGAGCTCGGATAAGTTTGTACTTGCCTCTTTTTCTGAGTTGTCACCTCCCTTATTTCATGTTCACTCTTGCCTACTTCAAGTTTCTGCTGCAAGGTCACCTTCCCCAAGGTCTTCCCTAAACATCTAGTGTCAAACAGTTGGCTCCTCCCCACAGACTCTGTTCTGCTTATCCCACTTTATTTTTCTCCAGAGCACTGAACACTATCTAACCCATTAGACATTTAGGTGCCTTTGCTTATTGTCTATCTTCCACCCTTCTAGAAAGCTAAAACTATGAGAGTAAGAACACCATCGGGTTGTTTATTTGTTTTCCACTGCTGTATCTCAAAGCCTAGAATGCTTTGATGCATAGTATTGTTCAGTAATTATTTTTTGAATGAATAGATGGACATACTTCATCTATTTATCTAAATACCTTATAACCCTTGTAATGCCCAGTGCCTATGAGTATAATCTGTTCATCTACTAAGCAAATTAATGTATTCTGCTCCTATTTTGTATCATTCTGTGTTTTATATTCTCCTGTTGTACACTAAGATTGCTTAAGGTAAAGGCTATTTATCATTAGAGAGCAAGTACACAGTAAATATAGAAATAATGAATAAATTTGACCTTAATAACCCAATCTTAAAGCATGACAGAAACCTAAATCCCCCAAAAAGCACAAGCCGTTTATTATATTTTATTTCCCAAGGCAATAAAATATATTTTAAATATGCTTCAACAAGGAAACAACTGAAAGTAGCTCAAAATCCAACTAGCTGGTACAATGCCTTTTCTGAACATTCTAACTTAGCTGAGATAAAGCCTCTTTGGAAAAAAGAAATGAATCCTATTTCCATAAAACTAGGGAAATGAAACAAAATGGGCACAGTAGTATCAAAACCATTCAAGATATTCCCTTGGAAGCAGAAGTTAACTCTAGTTGCAGAAAGAAAAATTACTTCATCTGTTATGGTGAGGTATGTGCATTATGACTTTTAGCCTCCTGTGAAATTTGTGACTGCATTTGCCTTAATTTCTATTCATTCTTGTTTCCAAAAGTTCAGTAAGTATGTGATGGAGACAGTGACAGGGTGGTTGAACCAGGTCTTACTGGTTCAAAACGGACAGAGAAAGGAGAGTCAGACCAGAGCTTAGAGAAGTCCAGAAAAGTCTGGACAGATAGATGATGCTTAGTGGAATGTTAAAGAAAGATAAACTCGGGAAATGTAGCCTGAGAAGTCAAGTAAGGGTCTTAGCTCTTATTATCCACCAGGGTAGAGCATACAAGGAGAGTACAGGCTTAGCATTCAAGAACAGGGCTTTTGTTCCTAGGAGGATTGTTTCAAACCTGAAGCTCTGTAGTATGACTAATTATTTAGTCACAGAGAAAATTAATCTGTGTCTTGGTAAATCACCTGATGATCCAGATATGGAAGAACAAGACAGTTGGGAGTCTGATCATCAAGAGTGGCAAAACAAAAGCCAATTTCCTAGCAACTGCATTTCAGATCCATTTGTATAGATGACTCTAGATCTGTAACTGAGAAGAGTGCTTGTTCTCAGCAGATGGAATAGAGTCAATCTAGTAGATAAGTCCTGCATGTCCTTACCTGGAAAGGGCTGCTCAAAGTAGTGGTGGGAATATGCCCTTCAAAGAGAGATTAAGGGCACAGGGCACTGTGTGGAGGTCTTCTCACCTTGTCCTTATGAATTCCAGCTTTCTCACTGTAGGGATTACTTTTAGGCCTACACAAATTCCATTTAGCTTGTATATTAATGACATTCTGATTGTTTTAGGAAGGATAGGATAAGAGCCTGAATATTGGAATTCTCTTTCCTAACATTTGCTTTCTTCATTTTAATGGGCAGGTGTTGGAGCCAAAATGGAGAACCCACTAATTCAAGAAATGAAAGATTTGGGGTGAAATTAGTTCAACAGACTGTGCATTTAGAAAATTGCACTAAGCTCTGCTTTATTTAAGTATTGCCCACACAGACTATGTAATGTCAACTGTCATGAGAAAAATGTCCCTTTTCCCACAATAGGATGATTACAGAGTTCTTGAAATAAACATCGTATCAATGTTAAGAGGAGAGGAAGAAAAATGAGGACATAGTTAAGGATATTAGAAAAAAGTATAAGATTTTAAATATGCAGTTTTTATGCATTTTTAAAAATAAAGAAAATATTGAAAGGAAAGAATAAATCTCTCTAGGTATAAACAACATAGCCAGATTTCTGCTCCTTAAGAGAAATTAAGCAACAAAGCATGTTGATATTAGCAGTTCAAGAGCAGAGGACCAAAGGAGAACACAAAAGTAAAGGAAAACTTTAAAAATTTAAAAAAGAAGGAGGCGAACAAGAAGAGAAAGAAGAACAAGAAGGAGAAAGAGAGGAAGAGGAAGAGGAAGGGGGAAAGAAGAGGAAGGGCAGATGGGAAGAAAATAAGACATCCCAGAAGACCAGATGGGGTCAAGATGAAACCAAGCTGTGAAGAGGCCATTGCGCAAGTCCGACGGATGAGTCTAATCCACAAAGGAGGCAAAGCCAGGGATGCCGTTTATTAGCCTGAGCCCAGCTCACACAGACTATGATGGAATGACCCAAAGCACAGAGTAATGATACTCTGATGACCCTGGGGTAAAGTTTTTCTAAAATACCTGGGACATCCTGTGGGTGCTGACTTGTGGTAGATGCTTGTATTACCACAATTCCAAATCAAGATGTTTCTTTCCTTTCCTATGTTTAAATGAAGAGATAAGATCTTAGAGTTAGTTGTTTTTTACAACTGAAATTTTCTCTTTAGCTTCTCATGTTAATATAAAAAAATTAAATTCTCATGTTTAAATAATCTAAAAAGCACACTTCCAAAACCATAAGAGATTTGTGTTTGTACCTGTTGAAGATTTAACTTCATTTCCTATTCTTATTATAAGTCAAATATTCTGTTATTCTATTTTCTTCACTAGCAGCTCCCCACCTCTTTAACTTTTCTTTTAATTTAAATATTTTCCTTTTCTAGTTTTTTTTGTTCATTTATCCAAGACTATTTGCTGATAATTATTGCATTTTCCCTTTTCTCTGTCACCCTTTTTCTTTCTCTGAACCAATCTTTCCCTCGTCATTATTGTTACTTTACAAAAACAGTTCTTGTTTTCTCTAAAGATTTGGCATACTAAAAGTATAACCATTAACTTCTTTATCCACGGAGTTGCGTTTTATGTCCCAATTCTTTCTAAGGATGAGCATGTTTTCAAATAGTAGCTTCATGGAATCTGTTTTTATAAGATATTATGAGCTACTTGTACTAGGGGTAGGTATGTGACTCGTTAAGTTCTCTGGCTTCTTTACTTTGAAAAATCCCTCTAATAATTAAGTTAGTATCATCTTAATTCTGGAATCATATGTTAGTTTCATTTTTTGGGGGGAAAGCAAGCAGACACAAAATTTTTTAATTTATTTATATAACTGCTGAACAAAAGTGTGAGAAAAGGAAACGATGAATCATTTGCTGCTTTTCCTAATTCTGTCTTTTTTTATTACTAATTAAGTAGAGTTCAATCCATTTGTTTTTGAAACTCCCTGAGTTTCAGTAACATATTGAGAGGCAGGAGCTTTTTCCAACTATATGTTGCAATTGTTTCAAGGGGGCATAGTATAGTAGCTTTGGAGTCATCTAAATTCTTCGTCTTATCTTACAATTGCATAATGCCCTTAAATATATTGCTTTATCCTTTTGTAATTTGGTTGTCTCATTTTTTAAAACAATATGACAATGGTACTACTACCTTCTGGGTCATCAAGAATATTCTGTATTACTAGTACTGTATGTATGATATACAACAAAGACTCAGTAATAGTCTGTGGGCTGGTACAGTCCCTTCACAATCAGCAGAACTTTATGTTATGTGCCCTAGTGAACATTCAACAGACAAAGATATTCTTACAAGTTTATTCCTTCAAAAAAGCATTAAGACCTCATAACAGACTTTCAATGTCACATTCCTCTTTGTTCTCTGAAAAAACTTACTAAGACTTCATCATGTTTTCAAGTGTACATATATTTTTCACATTAAAGACTTATTTACTTGTGAGCAAAGGGTCCCCCTCTCTCTTGTAAACAATCCCCAAGAAACAATTGCTTCAACTAATGCATGTTGGCAGTTGGGAGCCGGGGTTAGGCCATAGAATACAGTACTGGGAAACAAAGAACATCAGTAAATCTGAAATATTAAGGAACAGGAGTGGAGTAGTCCCTAATCCCTGACTACTGAGCACTCTCCCACAAAGAATATTCTCATAAATGACACAGTTGTAATTTTTAAAATTAAAATCTGTGATCTTTTTTCCTTCCTCCAACTTTAGCTACAAAACAAATAATTTTTGATAAATGAGTAACTTAATTCTCAGCCCTTTAAAATGAAACTCTTCTGAGTTCAAAAAAAGCTTGTACATACATCCTGTTTTTCCAGGTCATTCATTCTCTAGCTTCCTAGTTAAATGAGGATAGGAGATGTATTTAATCCTTAGCTTGAATTTCCCTTTTCCTCAAGGTGAAAGGGGTTAAATTAGAAATCATAGTTAGCTCTTACTTCAGGGACAAAGATCCACAGAATACGTAATACTTAACAGTACAGCTTTTATTTCTCCCTTAGAAAACAAGAAAAAAAATAGAAATAATTTATAGCACGAACTTCAATACAGAAAGATTCACCTTGGAAGCCAAATGCTCCTAGGGTAAGGTTTCTGTTCATAGTGAGAGACAGTGGGAAGAAGAATTTCTTTCAGATTTTCCTCTCAAAGTAATGCTCAGACTCTCTGAGTCTGGAGCTCAGAGCAATCTTCAGAAAATCTCTCCAGTGGAATCAGCAGCTTGGAAGACACTCATACAAAGGTAAATTCTGGAGCTCTGAACCTGAGTATTCTTTGAGTCTATGTTACCACTGAATAATAATAAGAACGGTTTAAAATTTGGGTCTCTGTTACCACTGAATTATAATAAGAAAAGTTTTAAAGCTTCCACTACCTAAACTTTTAATAGGCAAAGGTCAACATATCTCAAATGGCATATGAAACACAGCCCTATTGAGTAGGCATTCTGAATTCATAGGCATGCTCCTTCTGAATATAAATATGCATCAATATGTATTCCTGTCTCTGGATACTATCTGAAGAAAGATTATTTTATCAATAGACCAGGCTTCCAGAGCAGCCTTAGGCAAGGAAAAAAGAAAATAAAATGTAGGGTGGGGAAAAAATAAGAACCAAGAAAATAAAGAGGAAATTTATGCATGCAGTTTCAGAGACTCTTGATCATGTCATGAGTTGTAATAAACAAAATTTATATTTATAAAACCAGGTGTAGTCTAATCTTACCCTCAAAAACACTAACCAGACAAAAACAAACTGTTATTTCCAAAGCTGGAAATATTACCATGTCCATAGATGTTTTCTTGGACACTTCAGGTAACTCATGTTAGTTTAAGAAGTGTCACTCAAATGTCTCTGGACCTCATTAGCTTGTGGATTCAAGTGAGATCATGGTGTTATTTAAATACCTTTCAGTTCAATGACAATAATCTCCCAGGCAAATTCTGAGGGTCCCTCTTCCTCTCTCTTATCTCTAAAAATTTACAGGGATCCTCTCTGTCTACTTACAAACCCTTCTGGATCCATCATCTCCCGGGTGTACCCTTGAGCAGGGCTCATAATCTTCTACTTCGGCAAATGCTGTGTCCCTTTCCAAGATAGAACCATTGCTCCCTCGCAGGCTGCTACTCACCACAAGCTTTCACTTGATGTTCTGCTTATAAACAATCTCCATTGGAAGAGGACCTCTCCTCTGGATTAGCTCCCTCAAAACAACAGTAGGGAAGTTTGTGGGCCATCCAAGCTATAAGACCTCACTCAGTTCAATGCCATCCTTCCTCTCTTTAGGAGTCCCTGGGTTGTCTGGTGTGAGTGGGTACCAGTGACGACTTCACACTTCTTCCAGATCTTCTCCTGTCTGCTTCCTCTCCCTTTAGATAAATTCCTTCAATGGGTCCTGTAATTCCTTCTTATAATTTATAGTTTGTTATTTCCCCCACTCCTAGTTAAATAGGCACAAATATATATTTAGATCCTAATCATCAATAATGTTCTGGTTCATCTTATAGGTAATTCCAGGGTTATTGAAAAATCAGCCAAAATAATTGCTTACCAGAGAAAAGGGATGGTACCAAATTCCATATCCCAAATATATAGAGGGACTCCTAATTCCCTGGATTTGGTTCTGAAATATCTGGTTTTTAATTATAGAATTACTTGCTAAAGGTAGAACTTTGGTAAATTATTTAATATCATCTCCAAAATTAGGACAATGATACTTAGCAAATATAATTACTGATACTTGAAAGAAGAGGAAGATCTTTTAAGAAGTTCTCAGTAGAACTTATTTTATATATAGTGCAAGTCCTTGTTTGACCGGTGGCCCGAGTGAGCAGTGTATGGATGTGTTTGGGGAATTTGCCACCCAGAACAATGAAAATCGATTTGTAAGAGGCTTAAGGGCAATCTGACAAAAGGCCACATCTCAATCAGAGGATTCAGATACAGCACTTTACTCAGTAAGGAAACTAGCTTTCAGAATGGAGGATTTGGTTTTTCTCTAACAATGACAGAATGTCTCATTTTTTTTTTTTATTGAGTTTATTGGTACATTTAGGGATACAGTACAGTTACATTCATTGTTGGGATCATGTACCTTTACATGGCAAGTCTTGATTCTCATTTTTTTCCCCTTACCTCTGCCCTCCCTTCACCCCTGGTCTCAAATCTCCTATCTATTAAGGCAGCTGCAAGATATTTTGATAATGGCAACTTTAAAAAGGCTAGTGGAATTTGAATTATTTTTGTTAAAGTGACTCCAATTATATCATAAGTGCTGAAATCTGAGAGAAATTAATTACATCTATAAAAGTAAATGTTACATATATTTTACATTTGTCATCCTAATGTAGAAGGTAAGCATTTGTTTGGAAATTATCCTGTGTGCTTCATTGCTTTAATGTAAGTTTTGCTAAAACTACTGAAAATTATAGTTTCTATTTCTTTTGTTTTGATCTACAAAGTTACAGAAAAGTACTAGGTTTAGGTGGTCACCACAAAAAGGCTTAAGCAAGTACAATTAACAATGAATTACTACTTTAAAACAGATCATATATAATGGAAATATTCTTTCATTTTTGGAAACTGATTATCAAGTAAGATGAGTCACTAGTACTGTTTACTTCTTCATGAATTGGTGGGAACATAAAAAAACCTCAAAGAACATTGATGAACAAAGTTTTAAGCAAAATCCTGCTCTTGCCTGAAACCTTGAATTCAAAATCTGAAGATTC